ATCTTATCTAATCCTTATCTAGTGTTTGGTGCAATCAGTATCTGAACTAAATTATTCCGTGGTGCTTATCCTCCTCTATTCATCCGTATAAAATTAATATGCAGTGTGTAGTGTGGATCATATTATTTATTTACCAATTTATGAATTAATAAAAAATTAGTAAACTGGATTACATAATTTATTGACAAGTAAATAAGAGCTAAGAATTTCGTTTATAAGTAAAACAATATAATTAAATTAATCACTTATGAGAAAAAATTTATTATAAGTAAAAATTTATTTATAAGTGAAAAAACATATTCTTAAGTTGAAAAGTTATTTATAAAGTAAAAATGATAGTTATAAATAAAAAAATTGTGAAGTGTAAAGTTCACTTCAAAAAAAAACAAAAGGTTTACAAGTACAAAATTTATGTGCGAGTAAAAGAATTACTTATGAGTAAAAAAATAACATATAAGTTATAAAATGCTTATATAAGTAAAAAATCACTTATAGGTTAAAAAATCACTTATATGTAAGAATACTACTAATAACTAAAATTTCACTTAATAAGTTTATTTTTACTTCTAAGTTAAAAATTTACTTACAGGTCAAAATTTTATTTATAAATTATAACTATAAAACTTAATTATAAGTAAAAGAATTTCACTCGTGAGGAAAAAAATTCCATACAAAAAATTATAAGTAAAAAAAATTCACTTAATAAATTAAAAATCTCTTATAAAAAAATATTACTACAAACCTCCTAATTCTATTTCTCCTAATCACTTCATAAGTGTCTATGTGATTAGACGGACATTATCGAATATATAATAATCTGCATTTTTTAAAAGCATCCGTATTATAGTTATTTATGCAAATTTGGTATGGTCAATTTTTAATTTTTATTTAATGGTAAGAAATTTGCTGCTAGTATAACAAAATAATAATTATTGAGTTACCATTTAATGTATTCAAGTCCAAAAATCAACCGTAAGCCTCTAATGTCTATCTAGATAATCCCTAAATCATTGAAAGTACATTTGATACACAATATTAAACTTGATAAATATTAACACACATAATTTTTAACATATTTTTATTTTATAATACTGCTAAATACCGTGAATTCGACTCATTGGACGAATCATGAATCATGTACCATATATGCTATGACTAGATGTTTTAACAAAGAGTTAGATAGCTTGTTACATCGTATTCCACCAATAGTGTATTGAAAATGCTTCTACTTCATGCTCACTCCCTCTCTCTTTTTTTTACCCCACCCCACTCCATACCATGGCACAATCCAAATAAGAAAAACTGATAAATACAATATGCTTCTATTTGAGCCACATTAAAATTTTCATTCTCATTCTTTTACTCATTTTCAACCATACATTTTTCAATAAAATAATATTTTTCATCACATCAATAACTTTTCCTTCTTTTTCAACCACACATTATCTATCAATCTATTATTTTAAAATACATTCTTCCAAAACCTTT